CCCAGCTCGTCGGTAGGGAGCAGCAGCTCCTCCTTGGGCGAGTCGCCGGCATCCTCGCTTCCCATCGCCGCAGGCCCCATTCCAGTCCCACCCGCGGACCCCGAGCTCCGTCGGGCATCTTTGGCCTCGGTTAGCAGTTCGTCGTCCTCGTCCAACTCCTCATCCAGCTCCTCGGCCTCCTCTTCTTCCTCTTCCTCTTCCTCATCCTCCTCTAGCAGTTCCTCCCCTCGGCTTGGCCTACCGTCGGGGCCGCCGCCACCTCCAGGGCTGCTCAAGTCGTCGAGGGTACGAGCGGTACGCGCAAAGGGCGCGTTCTCCCGGTAGGACTTGCTTCGACTGATGCTGACCTGTGGCGCCTGGCTGATCTTGAGAGAGTCCCACGACGAGGCGGTTGCCTCGGCCCGCGCCAGCAATCGTCCCCCACCAGGCCCATAGAGGCGGCGCAACTTGGGCGGCAGATGCAGCTCGCCCATCTCGAAATCGGGCGGGCTGCCCTTGCCTGGTCCTGCCAGACAGAGAAATGCACGGGTCGTCAGTCCAGTAGCTACAGATGGACTTATTGGCTAGAGGGACCCCTCCCTGGAAAAAGTCCCAGCGCGAGTCATCCCAACCCGCCCATCTTCCTCCTCAGCTGTCTAGGTTGAGTCAATAGAACCCAAAGGAATTCCGTTAGAATCCAGGCAATCCCCCGTTTCTGTAATAACAGACAAAGTCCGTTTTGTTCATAAGCTTATATTTGAAAGCAGCAGCAGCAAACAGCATTGCCGGAGAACATCTCCCAACCTCATTTTGGTTTCAAACATTATTACCTTCAAATACCAACTAAAGGGAGTCTCCCTCCTCCAGCTGGCATCTGACACCTATGGGGTTCTGTCAAATTAATTTCCACATTTCTTTGGAGGTAGCAAAGAAATGGCCCTTGACCCACCTGAAATTCCAGGCGGGAGAGAAAGTGGTTTAGAAGAAGCCGAATTCTCTTCCTCTCTCCCTTCATGAGGAAAATCAGAACGAAACATCTAATTTCCTACAAGATTTAGACATTGAACTGGAGTGCCCCCCGCCGACACCCAGATGTCCTTTAATCTAGGCCTGGCAGGCAAAGGCGCTGCCAAGTTGGAGAAAATACCGGCACAGAACTCTTGACAATGGTTAACATTTGCCATCACAACGCCACCCGTACAAACCCATAAAGTGAGGAAAGCAGAAAAAGAGACCCTCGATTTTGCATCCATTCCCCCCTTGCCCCCCCCCGCCCCCGTTCCGCCTTCTCCCTGAGTAGCGTAAACCCTGCTAGGATTCAGCCCGGTGCACCAGAGAGAGAGAGAGAGAGAGAGAGAGAGAGAGAGAGAGAGAGAGAGAGAGAGAGAGAGAGAGAGAGAGAGAGAGAGAGAGAGAGAGAGACTAAAACAGGGCACATGTGGAGCGGAGTTCTTCGGAACGTGATTCGGCCTTCAACTGTCCGACTGCTCAACTTGGGACTGCCCGAGTTTGGGACCCAGTTACTTACCGTAGAAGCGCCTTCTCCCTATACAATCCCTGGCCCAAGGGTGGAGTGGAAGGGATAAGGTGATATTCAGGACTGCGGGCAAGACAGGGATCTGCCTTTCATTTCTTCGAAGCTACGTTCCCTCCCTTTTCCACCCTCATTCCACCCTTCTCACCTTGCCCGGCCTTGTCCGGCTCCGTCCGGTTGGCCAGAGGCGGCAGATTAGGAGCTGCTCCTAGCAGCCGCATCTTGCAAGGGCTCCTCCTGCCCAGGATGCTGTCGATGCAATAGGAGGAGAGCAAAGTTGGAGATTTACTTTTGCATTCGGGCCTCTCGGAGCAACTCTCTTCTTGGTATTGGCTGCTCATGGCTTTGGCTTGCTTGTACTCTCCCGGGCCGTGCGGGGGTTGAAGTTTGGCTGGGGCTGGTACCCCTCCCCCCACTAAGCAGCAGCTGAAGCTCGCCCCTCTTCCTGCCCAGGACACGAGAAACCAGGGTAGTGACTGCGCTGCAATCGCTTAGCTCTTAATTCCCTCTCCTCCACGTGCTGTAAGGCGCCCTCTGATTGGCTCTTGCCAGAGGCTGGGCAGCCTCTGGCTTCAGCCCAAGGCAAAATGCGGCCTGGATCGTGGAGAAGGGGAATGGTACAGGTTGAACCAAGTTGGGTGGCTTTCCTGGACATCCTTCTTGCTGCAACTAGCAAGAAGAACTAAATCACTTTTTCCATGAAAAGGAAAAGACAACCCCCCTCTCCCCTAACAAGGAATGGGTAGGATTATCCCATGTACAGTACAACATATCTCGACTGCATTGATTAACGTAGAAACTTGTTTGCTTCAATTATATTTTGGTTACAAGTTTAATTGCAATATTCAAGATAGCTTCCCATTATTAATTTTAAGAAATAAATTGTTGAGACTTAGATTTTTGAATGAATCACTGGATTACTTTCAGTCGCTGATTTTCTTTACAAAGCAAACCTAATAGTAATTCAGAGTGCAAACCCGCATGTACCCATTCAGAAATCGATCATAGTTATTTCTTGGGCACTACGTTTAGAATTGCATCCTTAACTTCAGAATGCACATACAGACCGTAAAGGTTCATACACTAATATTTATCTAGACAAAAAACCATTTACAATTAAGAGGATAAAGCAGCCGACAAATTGATAGGGGAAAACTTGGCGGGTCATCCAAATCAGCACATTATTTTGATTTTGTGATGTGTTGGTAATATGTAACTTGTTGGTAATATGTTTTATAATTCCTGTGGGTAGGAATTATAAAACACAGATCTTCATAACCCTTCCTTCCTTCCTTCCTTCCTTCCTTCCTTCCTTCCTTCCTTCCTTCCTTCCTTCCTTCCTTCCTTCCTTCCTTCCTTTCCTCAAAGCAAATCCGGATCTACCTAAGATTAAAAACGAACATAGTTGGCACAAAACGGTGCCTTCACTGAAATAATCAAACTGGGGGATTTGGAACCCAGCTATAGAACTTATTCACCCCTGAGACAGAGGCCAAGGCTCCCTGCCTAAAGATTAAAGTTGGGCAACTGGGAAAAGCCTTTCACTTTTTCTAAAATAACTCTTTCTTTTTGATCTACACGTTTTCTCTGCTGTTATGCAAGAATCAAAACGACCCGAGATCAGAAACAGTTTAGGCACTGTGAGGAACTGATGGGTAATTCCAGCTAGCTTCCTCGATGCGCAAGTTCATTAAAAAAAAAAAACTATAATAGGGTCAATGACATCTTGTTTCAAAGCGACTATCTGGGAAACATTATGGATTAGGAACTGAAGGTCGCTGAGTATTTTCCTCAGACGGTCAGGATCAGTGCCAAAGACTGCAAATTTGCTCTGCAGTTATTTTTATCGGGCAAGTTTCCCCGCTACCTTCCAAAGAGAAAAGAGGCAGAGAGAGCAGCAAGGAGCAAGGAAACTATGGTTGAAATCCAGGTTTGGGACAAGGGAAAAATTCCAGACCTGGTTTTCTTCTCACTGAACCTCTCTCTCGGAGCGTGTCAATTTTTTTTTTACAAAGATACCTACTTGAATCACTTACAGTTCGTATTTAAAAATATAAGGATTTATAATTGGAATCTCTCTTGTGCACTCGCCCTCTTTTACTGTAATAAACATCTGGATGACTGTTTGAAATGCTAATAGGAGAGCAGCGTTCCGGTGCCGTGGCAGCAAAACTGTTTCGCGGCAAAGTAGAGAAGCGAAGGAAGGGGAGCACCGCGCCCGCTTCCCTGAAAGACAATCCCCAAGGAGGCTCGTCCCCAAAGAGCTCTCCTCTCGATTCCTCTACCCCAGCTGCTCCATGCGCAGCCCGCAGTGATTCCCAGCCGCTTCTCTCCGCGGGATACTTTCACGCCGCGGTTTCGCTGGCGCTTGGTTTCATCTCCTAAACGCCCTGCCTTCCTCTGCCCTGGAAAAGTCTGAAGTTCTTTCCGTTGTAGCAACATTTGGCACCTATCTGTGCGGGGAAGGGTTTCATGGGGACTTTTTAAAAAGCCCCTATAAACCCTGGACTGCAAAGTCCAAAACTCAACCACTGTGATCCGGCTAAAAAATGAAACTTGAACGTCGAAGTCCATTTCAATAGAACTCTTAAGGACGAGGCGATTCCACCGTGGCGGTTTTCTCCTCCAGAGGAGAGGCAGAGGTGGGAGGAGGGAGACGTTCCCTAAGGAAGGGCGGGATCGGGCGGCAAGCGTCAATTCCTCCCGAAGGGCGAATAAGTCGGGAGACCAATCGCTGCCTGCCGAGGGAATTTTATTTGCGAGAGGCAGCCCGGTTGCCAGTAGAAGGGCCCCGCAGAGGCGGGTTTGCTCTGCGCATTTTCCTCTTCCTCGATCACACTCAAGGGAGCGGCCAGAGGAGCCCTGATCTCCGCTCCCGCCCGTCCCGAGCGCCGAGGCCTGAAAGGAGAAGGCGGCCGGCGGAGGACGATTTGGGTCAACAGAGCGTCAGTCCGGAATGTCCTCAGGTGCCTTTTGCTCCGCCGGAAAGGCTCCATTCTGAGGACCAATTTCCTCCGCTCCGCACTCGCCTTTCTTTTTCCGCCTCCCGGGCGAACCGGGTAATTGGCGGGCGCGTTTTGTTTTGCAGTATCTATTCTCCCCTCGCCTTTCAGAGCCACCCTTAACGTGGCCTCAGGGCAGGCGGTGACTCTTCGGTCCCCGGCGCAGAATGGCCCACTATTGTCGGCGCATCCAGCCGCCACCTCCGAGCGCTGCCTGGCCGCCTCTGAGCCCACCGCGCCGGAGAGCAGCCTCTAGGCCCGTCATCCTCTCTGTGGGCTCGGCAGGGTTAGATATGGCTCTCCCCCACCCCAGTTTGTTGAATAAAAAACAGGGTCGCCCTCAAATGGCCAATGCTGAATCTCGTAATTAGTATTCTGTTGCTCCTCATCCTGTTCCCAGGGGCCTCTCAAAACTCCCAACATCAATCTGACCCGTGAGAGCGATCATGGTAAGACAAAAAAGGGAAGTGAAAGTGTCGATAGTTTTCGGAAAAACTCTTAATGTTCAGTCAGCCAAAGGGAATGAAACTCCTTTGATTTGTCCGCATTTACTTCTTTTAGTTATTCACTTGCTTAAGTCGGCGCAAAGCTGACGCTTCTTTACTTGGCGTTTCCATCCAGCTGGCCTGTCTGAGTGAAGAGAAGGCTCTACTTCTAGATGTGGTAGAAGCTGAAAAATCAGCCCCGTCTGCTACTTCTCCCTCCGGGAAGCCGAGAAGCGGCTCATCTCGAGTCTAGCCGTTTTTACCGCGGAAGGCGAGGGCTTCAGCCTACACGCCGCATTCGATAATTTGGACGTCGACATTCCTAAGGATTTTTCAGCAACTTCCTCCGTAGAGATCCCCCACATGCCCATCAGAACAATTAAACAAGCAAGGCCCAAAGGCAGAACTGGTGCAGACGATCTATCCGCTTCTGGAATCCCCTACAACCAGGTGATCTTTCCCCTGCACATTTTTAGTTTTCTGGATTCTCAACCCTTCCTGCCTTCCTGCCAACTTCTTTTCCCTAACCATCTATTTTTCCCTCCACTAATCCTAATTTAACCCTGGAACTGTCTTATTGTAACCTTTTGGAGGAGTGCAGGGGAAACAATAGTGCAGTGATCCAAATGATACAAAATGATTAGAGTTTTACTCTGAGGAGGTAAGAATTTTCCTCCAATCAGAGTCAAGGACTTGGGATACTGACAGCTATGGGTGAGGCAGGAGCAAGTTGCTTTGAGAACAGCCTTAGGTGGGGCTTTCCACTTCAGTACCTCTGCTAGTGGTTTAAGAAAGAGAATCGTTGTCTACTTTCAGTTCAAAGTTCTGCCCATGCAAAATGATTGGAAACAAGGCAAGTGCTTGTTGAAGTGCTCATGGAACCTGGCACGATGAAGCTCGTGCCAGGTTCCATGAGCCACACTAGGAAAGGAAATTGCAGAATGCTCTGAGCACTGATGTTTTTATGGGGGAATGAAATGCAATACAAGGATGAAATTTTTGTCCAGCAAAGATGAACATCTTCTTGATTTCAATAAGAGCCTAAAAGTGGTACCTCCCTTTTACTTGTAGCCAGAAGTGAAGATCAGAAAACGTGTTTGCTTAAATATACTGTAATCTGTTTCAAGAAGCAATTTCTGATGCCAGTTATTCTTCCACATATCCTTTTAAACAAGATTCCATACTGACCTTTATGTGTTGGATTTACACATGTGTAGGAATTCCACAACCAAAAGTTTGCCTATCTAAATCCACAGGTCATGCGGATGTTAGTTCAAATGGTGGAAAACTCCTCATTGGTTTTCCTGAAAAAAAATTCCAAATATAAGATATTTTTATTCCCACATTTATTTATTTATTAGAATTTGTCAAACAAAAATGAGAACAAGAATAAAAGAAAAAAACAATGACAGGGACGATAGGCACATTAGTGCACTTATGCACGCCCCCTCTACTGACCGCTTAAGTATGATGTATGAAGGAGTCAGCAGCATTTCAGCTTTGACAGTCTGCTCTCAGCTGGGAGAAGATCTCATCACCTCTTGTTGGTTGTACAAAAATCCTGTTACTTTTTGCTTTTGTCAGAAATCTCTTACTTTTTAAAGAAAAAACCCATTCTTTTTGTTTTTAAAGAATTAAAATAATTGAATAAATAAGATTTAAAAATAGGAAGTTGTTGTTATCCCTTAATGGCCATTACACATTCATTTCTGTAGATGCAATCCTGCTTACAAGTAGTTAAATACCAATAAAAATATTTCCTAAAGAAAGAAGTTGAAGAGATCAGGAAGAGAAAAAAAATAAAAGCCAAACATCAGTTTCTAAAGGACTAAATGTACTTTTAAATATGTGTCTGCCAGGACACAGACTGAAAAAGAATATTCTCCAAAGCACCTGAGGGTAAGATAAGAAGCAATGGGTAGAAACTAATCAAGGATTGCTCCAACACTGGAAGTTTTTAAGAAGAGATTGGATAACGACTTGTCTGAAGTGGTATAGTGTTTCCTGCCTAAGCAGGGGGTTGGACTAGAAGACCTCCAAGTTTCCTTCCAATTATCCTATCCTATCCTATCCTATCCTATCCTATCCTATCCTATCCTATCCTATCCTATCCTATCCTATCCTATCCTATCCTATCCTATCCTATCCTATGAATAGTGATGGAACTATTTGTAAAAAGATCAGTTTGTAAAAATATGTATTTGATAAACCTTGCCATCCCCCTTGCAGAGCAATGTTTTTGAAGACAGATTGATTTCCATCTCTATGGTGAGCTAATTGTATAATGGGCTAAGTAATTGTATAATTTATTTCCTATTCCCGTTTTAAATATCTCAAGGAATCGGGAAGCTGCCTTTGGGGAGAGTGCAAAGAGTAAGCATAAAGGTTATAGCTAATGAGCTTGCTTTCCTATTAGTGTAATGAAACACCATATTTGTGTGCGTGTGCATGCATGTGTGTGCGTGTCTGTGTGTGCAGTTTCCAATATTAAACATGGTTCCAACTGCATGACATGTAAAGAGCACTAGTAGATTTATTGTTTTGCCTTGTTCTCTTATCTTTCTAATTAAAGTGCTGGTATAAACAGAAAAGATGCCTCTAAAAATTCACCATAATTAAGATGTCAGTGAGAATGTAAGTTCCTAGCTTGCAAAATTCACAAACAATTCTCTTCCTTGGCTGATTTGATTAAGCCATAATGTGATTTCTTTGTTTCTAGTTTAGTATAATGTACGGACATTTCCATTGTGATTTGGATTATTGCATGAACAACTGACACCACAGTGGTATCTTCAACAAACTGTTTTTTTAAAGAAGCTCTGGTTTAATGTGATGTGTAAACCAATGCATCAATTGGGATGGCAGTCTTGACAGTGCAATCCTGTGAAGTATAACCTGTTCAATTCCAGAGAGATTTATTCCCAGATCAGATTATTTTGGACTGAAGCCTATAGTCTGAAATTATGATCCTTCAGTCTTTGTGGGAGAATAAAAGTTAATCTCAGTTCTAATCATGTTAAACATCTTAATATAAAACAGAAATGAATTGCAAATAAACACTATTTTCTCTATCTTTCATATGGTATGCCCTTCTTGTAAGATTGACTGATTTATAGGCATAACAGAATTGCTAGGTTTTGCATATGGGACAGAAAACTGAATTAATTAAAGCCATGCTATAAAACCTGACAAATTTGTTGACTGGGAATTTGCTGACTGACCCTACAGTTCTAGGAATAAAACTTCCATTATAGTGCAGTATAACATTTATACATTGTGTTAAAGTTGTCTGCAACTATAAAAATCAGTGGAATTCAAAACCCAACCATGCATATCTATATTTTGCTACTTTCCCTGCAAAAGATACTTTCTACAAATGTCATTGCTATTATTTAGGGATGCTCATCACATTTTCAAAATGGAGCTCAGTGTTACAGCCAACCTGTAGCATGTACAGGAAAGATTGAAAGACAATACTCTGAAACCTTAGTGAGTTTATATCAATATAATGACAAAAATTATTTTGTTATTGTTCTGACATTTTTATATTGTATAATGCCCAGAATCACTGAGAAATGTGCATTCTTCAAAGCTATGACGATAAATATTGGGCTTAGAGAGTTTAGAGAGCCAAAATCAGATGTGATGTAAGGCACATGAGCTTTCTTTCTATGTTTCTTTCTAGAACCTTGGGGTTTTTCCTGATAAATAATGTGAAGTTGTCAAGTGGTGAAAATGTAGTGCTGCCAAAAAATCCAGTAGCACACTTCTAAGAAAAGTGGACAGAGCATAATCTATGCATGCAAATTATACTAACATAGCAATAGCACTTAGTGCTTCATAGTGCTTTACAGCCCTCTCTAAGCAGTTTACAGAGTCAGCATATTGCCTCCAACAATCTGGGTCCTCATTTTACCAACCTTGGAAGGATGGAAGGCTGAGTCAACCCTGAGCCGGTGAGAATCGAACTGCCGAACTGCAAGCAGAGGGTAATCAGCAGAAGTAGCCTGCAGTAAAGCATTCTAACCACTGCACCAACATGGCTCATCCTGGAAAACTCCTATGAGCATCCATGTATTTTTAGGTTACAGTATTATATATACTTCTAAGACTTATTTCTTAGAAAAGAAATGTGTAGAACTTACTCAAATTATCTGCTTTCCACACAATGAATTTTTTACAGTGGTTGTGACTAGTTGGATCATGCTCAAAATCCTCTTTCTTTAAGCTTTTTTAAAATAATAGTTCCTGATAGCCATTTGTTCTTGGTAGTCTTCCTTATATTCTCCTAACAATTCCATTTTTATTTTTTTTTACTATTTCCTTCATAACAGTCATATTTCTGTTTCATATACTTGTGATAGGGGATTTTGACTATTACAGGTTATAGGGCAAGGACTGCTGTTGTCATTCTATGTATTCAATAAGATTCATAGAACCTTTGGTAATTTCAAATAGAAGTAGACTAGAAATCAAGGACAGTTATGATGATGGGATCTGAATAATTCTGTATGCCACAGATATTATTATTATCTCAACATCAGATACTGCAATTACAAAAAAATAGTAAACATTTCATATCTGATAAACATATAAAAATAGATATATAACATAATGAGTTATATATGGAAGTAAATGTATGTGTGTGTGGAGAAAACATGAAATGTTAAGGATTGGTTTTGAGATAAAAATTTCTCAAGAGTAATTATAAATCATTATTTTGTCAGAATTTACTTGGCTTTTGGCTTCCCCCAACCCGTGACCATATGACAGCATTGATTTTCTGGGATTTCCAATCCTGGGAGCTTGCCAAATAACTCAGTTTTATTGTTCCAAATAATTTTGTTTGAGTTTTGCAAATATATATGTTTGAGGGTAAGAAGGCTGTCTTCGAAAATATTGGGTTGTTTTTATTTTAAAATATTTGCACGGCTGCATATTTTTTTATGCAAGGCTTAGTGTACATAATTTGAGTCCCCAGTTTTGTGCCTAGGACCACTGCTGGAGATAGCAATATATATCTTGATGCCTATAAGGGTCATTGCCACCCCCAATTTTAGTTTTTTTAATTAGTTTACCATGCCATTGTATCCAGCTAGGTGGCAGCACATAATTACCCTTCCCTGATCTCAAAAAAAGACCTAGTGGGAAGTTGAATGGAAGAACTTTAGGAAAATCCAAGGTTGTAAGCATGACTGGAAAGCGCACAAACTATCCTGGAAGATGTCAGTAGCATACTACTTGTATATCATTTCTCATAAAACTATACAGACATGTTCATGAAATTATCAGCAGTAAAGTTTGACTGAATGAGATTTTATTTGTAAGAAAACTCCAGCTTTAAGCATAAATTGCATTTCTAATCCCACACAGACCCCACAGGCATTTTACTTCTCCACTGAAAAATACCACCTGATCTGATAGGGATCAAATGGGAAGCTATAAGGGGT